GCGAGAGTAGTCGCTCATCGACTGTGGAGTCAGGGCAGCTGGGCTTTCTTGAATCCGGTCAAGGGGCATACTGCCATATTAGTCGAATTAGAAAGGGAGGACCCCGTCCTTCTAAGCAGGGGTGATCGTATTACCCCTAAACATCGCTTCAACCGCAAGTTCATTGTGGAGTACCCAACGAGGGAGGAGTGGGACGCCGGTAGCCGAGGACTCTCCGAAATGAGCGGGCAGGTCTGGTACACGGACGGCTCGGTCACCGAAGAGGGCTCAGGTGCTGGGGTCTCTGGACCTAGAACTAGGCTATCTCTGCCTCTCGGTGAGTACACCACCATTTTCCAGGCGGAAATCTTTGCGATTCTGGCTTGTGTATCTCACATTCTGGAGGAGGGTGGGCCTAGGAGAAGAATAACAATCTTATCCGACAGCCAGGCTGCAATGAAAGCACTAAGTGCATGTAAGATTACTTCGAGTCTTGTATTGCAATGCAGGGAGGCTCTGGATTGCCTCGCAGCGAGGCATCCGGTATCGTTAATATGGGTACCGGGGCACGCTGGGATAAGGGGCAATGAGACGGCGGACACTCTGGCGAAAACAGGATCAGCCAGCAAGCTCGTTGGTCCTGAGCCAGCTCTAGGAGTAACCGCGCATAAAGCTAGGAGGAAAATGGAGACGTGGGTTGCAAGACAACACTCTCAGAAATGGAGAAGTATCTCTAAACATCTCCGCCAGGCACGAGAGCTCATTGAAGGGCCCAGTGCTAAGGATGGACGCTTCTGCCTATCTCTGGGTAGAGCCAACCTAAGGTTGCTGGTGGGACTGTTGTCTGGCCATAACACGTTAAGGCGGCACCTGCACGTGATGGGGGTGGCTGAGGATCCCTTGTGCGAACGCTGCGGAGTAGAGGAAGAGACTTCGGCGCACGTTTTGTGTCGCTGTGAAGCTCTGAGCTACTATAGGCAGACTATACTGGGGTCCATTACTTTGGACCCTCAGGACGTAAAGGAGCTTGGACTCAAGGCGATTCTCAACTTCGCTAAAAGGGCGAGGCTTGTGATTTAAGTATTGTAGAGGTGCATAAGGGCCCGCTTAAGCGGCCTATGCACTGGCTCCTTATGGTGGCCGGGATGCCTCTAAAATTCAAGATTCATTCATTCATGTCTCATAAGTCCGTATAGTTCCTGCTGAAAGTTACAAAATTCCAACCCCACTACAATTTGCGATTTCTCCAATTTATACGCAAGGATGTTATTATGGATTAATTCCATTTGGCAGTTCCACACTGTATAGTGGAACGTATATAATCACCAGTTAGTCTCGCCTGATTCCTTTCTACATTACTTCTTTTATAAAAGAACACTTCAAGGTACCATTTTTCTTCAATCCTGATACCATGACACGTTTTTTCAGTCATTTATTTAATAACATAAACGCCGCCGGTAATCCTTGAATAAACAATAACTACTAAACGAGTTACTTGTTTGTCCGGCGATATCAATCAGTTCCAACATTGAGAACTATACCCAAAATGGTGAATACGGAAGATGTTTCGTTCTGATGAAAAACAATTTTTATTATTCATGAAAACTTTTACGGTGATTTCAGTTCCTATTTCGGTTTACTGGGGACTACACGTAATTCTGTGTAAATACTGCGTAGGGTCATGGGCGATCACAGGGCAGTGCCAGGGGGGGCACAGGCAGAGAGAACTTGGTAAGACACAATCTATATACTTACCATGCTTTTGTATAGAACCTTGGAGAGTTGGTAGGAATTAAATAAAATAAGGCTACAAAATTGTAAAAAGGACAATAAAGTATTTTTAAAAAGTAAAATATAATACACTTGTTTTTGAGGTTACATTTCCCAAAGAGAAGAATATTGAGACTCTTTAGCGGGGCTCCTACAATCACGAGCACCATCTCCTGAGGTAACGGGGGGTAAAAAGGAAACGAGGGTGGGCTGGCCTTAGACTGTCGTCGGCGCTACTTTAAAAGAGGAAATTATGACTGGGATTAGCGATCTAGAATGTAAATTGTTTCTTATTTTGGTACTCAGCAAGTGATCATTTAGTATTTTTATCCCCTTGTTACTGTTCGTCGATATTGTGTTGTTGAATTGTTGTTGGTGTGATTGTTCTTGAGTGCCTTTTTTATCAAGGCTGATAATGGACAATAAAGGGTCATATGCGACCATTTTAATTACGAATGCATTGAGTTTAATCCATGATGAGGTCAGTTCAACTCTATAATCGCAAAATACATTGAGGTAAGCGAATAAATTATTGCAAGAAGAGGTCATACCATGGAAGATGTGCTGCAGCTGTATTGAGCCACAATACCCAGCGGCCTGTCTATGTGGTCTAAATACATTTGCGTTCTAAGCTTAGTCCAACCTCGCTTATCGCTAAGATGGATCAAAGACTCAAACGCAAGAATCTTGAAAAGAAACTCAGTCAAAAACCTGACATTAACCACATTGATTTGGAGGTTGCTAAGCAAAAATTTTTAGAGAAACTTAAAAAAAGTGACGAGGAGATTTTGTAGATCGAACAAGTCATCAAATCACAGGACTGTACTTTGCCGCGCCTTCATCGGAGGATAAGGTTGACAACGTCTCGATTTGGTGAAGTTTTCAGAAGAAGAACACCGCAGTTCAATCTTGTGGTTTGTTTATTGATCGGACACATCCATTTCTGGCAGCATCGCCTCCATCTACCTATTACAGTAGACAAGAAATGTACCTCTTATTTTGACGGCATAAGATATTTTTATGACCCTTGTTCAATTGTTGATACGATTTGTAGAGGCTTGCGCGCTTCGAAATTGACGCTTTATTTTTCGATATTTTTAAATGAAATTTTCACAGTGTGCTGAAAACAAAACCCCACTGGGTGCTATTGAGCCACTTTTTCATTTTTTCCACTAGATTCTTTTTAAAAAAATCGCGAAGTTGAACAGAAAAAGTGCGCACTTCAACCCATCATAAAACTTGTGCAAAAACAAAAATTCAAAAAGTGCTCCTACAGCACCCTCTGCAATTATCTTCTGAACATACTGTATGAATTTTATTCAAAAATATTGAAAAATGGCTTGAAACTCACTGCGTCGGAGCCGCCTTAAGACTGCCGAATATTTTTTGACTTATCGATTTTTATTACTGCGAGAAAAATTAAGAAAGTTGCTTAAGCATACTTTGTAGTGTATGAAGTAGCGACTGAGGTACGGATGACTACGAAATTCCTAGATTTTTGTATTTTGAGCTACTTAGGAGACATCACGTTGAATGTAAAATACATACACTCTAAATGGCCCTGTTATGTGGTAGATACAAAGGTTTTCAAAGAAATAATGTATATTTTCGATATATATATATATATTTATATATATATATATATATAGGTGAAAAATTAAAGCTTCCGCCTTTTGTTGGGTACTTCGACAAAATTTAAGCAAAGAGGACTCTTTATACTTTTTTTAATTCTCTCTAGCTTTCAATGGACTTTGCCATCATCATCAGGAGCTGCAATTACAATGATAACAGTAGCAACAAAAGTGTAAAATGAATTTAAATTGAATCAACTTACAGTAGTATGTGAGGATGTTGCTAATTGTTGTTTTCGTATAGGATGAGGGAAACGTCCAGTAACATGGTGAGAGCTGGATACATGGTACAATGGTTAAAATTATATAAAATATGACAAGACAAGTTAAAGACAGATTAAAAATTATTTAGAAAACATTAAAGCATTACGTCATGAAGCCACTTGATGATTGCACAAAATGGTGGTCATGGAATAATGAGTGAGATGAACCTATACGAAAACAACAATTAGCAACTTCCTCACATACTACTGTAAGTTGATTCAATTTAAATTCATTTTACACTTCTGTTGCTAGTGTTATCATTGTAATTGCAGCTCCTGATGATGATGGCAAAGTCCATTGAAAGCTAGAGAGAATTAAAAAAAGTATAAAGAGTCCTCTTTGCTTAAATTTTGTCGAAGTACCCAACAAAGGGCGGAAGCTTTAATTTTTCACCTAACTGGTTTAGACGACAATGACCACGTCTCAAGTTATATATATATATATATATATATATATATATATATATATGTATATATATACTGGAAATCAGGTAATACCCGTTTGATAATAAGTCCACGGAGTTCTTCATGACGAGTTCATGGCCATATTTCAAAAGAGTATAACAGGAATTTGAGGTCAAATCCATGAAGTTCTTCGTGGATTTCTTCGCGAAATTAGAAGTTGCTTTAAGTTTTGCCAAGTTTGACGTCAAATTTAACAGTACCACCATTGGTTTCTTTTCCATTATATCGAACAAATCTCAATTCAAGTGTAAACCTTTGATAGAACTACAGTATTCAACAAAGTATGGTTTCTGTTTATCAGGTTCGCCTCAAAATCAAACCACAATAGTTCCGAAATACGCTTTAAAAGATTAAACAAATAAAATATTACTGATTGTTTGGTATTATTATCAATATACATATATGTATGTAGTAATATCAAAAAAGTATTAATAGATAAGTAAATACTGTTCGTTTTTTAAAAATATTGTTCATTTTCCTCCTCAGACCCAAATATTACTTTATTTATTGTGAAAAAAATTGACAACCCTACAACAGCCATAGTGAATATCGAACTATTTTTGAAAAGGACCAAACGCGATTCAAAAGAAAAACGAGAACATTTTAAATTGAGTATTTTTTGAATCTAAAAGTATTCCACAAATACCTATAACCGTGATATTCGCACTCTTCTTAACTTTCAGAATTCAAAATATTTGTTCGGAGGCTGACAATATTGACATCCCAACTGCCCACTCGTAAACAAGAAAAGTATTGTGATCGCAAAGAAACAAGAAATAATAAATCGGTTAAAATCCCCCCAACATCAAAATGCATATTTCGGGGATTCTTAGGATCCCCCAAGAGAAAATTTAGTACCCGCTGCTGTTCAAACTCTTCCAGTTTTGGGGCACTTTCCTAGTGATGATCGCACCCCTGGAAAAAAAAATCCTGTGGGCGCCCATGGGTAGAGTGTATAAATCTGAACAGGCAACATCCAATCTAAAACAAATCAACCTATTTCATTGTATCCCTTACCCAATTCTCTCTTGAATTTATCCAAGGTCCCGGGATTTCTCTCAGTACATGCAAAAATAAACTCCTCAACATTACAGTATTTTGAAAAATTGCGCATGGCTTGTAACAAGGGACCAAACAAGTCTGCATCATATACAATATCTGCAGCGATTATTATGTCGATTTCTCCTATTTGCTTGCATGTATCTTCGACAACGTCTTCCCATGGCAAATTTAAAATTGCCACTGAAGGCTTGCGACCGGAAGAGCGATATATGCACCTGCAGAATGAAGTTTAACAATAGCAAAGGAATAAATTAAAATGAGTAAGAATATGAAACGTTCGTGTTCTAGTTTGTCGGTATTGTATGCTATTATTTCTTGCATTGTGCTAAAAAGGTAAAGTGAGAAATGCAAAGCGTTACAATACATACAATTTATCAAATTGGACAAGCGTGAGACTTGGATTTCAAGCGGGATACTAGTCGAATATAGAGACAAGAAACATCTTAAGGAACACGCCCACTGAGGGTAAATGGTAGAGAACCACGTAACACTATATAAAAATAAACCTTCATGGCGATAAGTGCATCAGCAAATATTGTATCCCAAACGGGTTTGGAAAGATAATGATTGTAACATTAAAAACAATTTAATAAACAGCAGCAATGAACTAATTTAATTAAGTACATTTTTCGTAAGATTACCTGTCATTAATTTTCACAGTGTCATCATTTTCATCTGTTAAGTCAATGGTTTCCTTCTCAACGTTTAGTCTCACATTATCCTGCATATTTTTCAATACCGCTGGGTGGCAGTCTGTTAAATAAACAATATTTGGCGCGAGCTCTGTGGATAGGACCAAGCCTGTTAGACCTAAGCCTGATCCAAGTTCGAGTACCTTTTTATCTTTGAAAAGGTCTTGGTTTGATATGATCCATTCTGATAATGCCAATGCTGCCTATGAATCAGGAAAATTAGCAAATTATATGTTGGGTATTTGCAAAGCAATTATTATTATTGTACAGACGAAAATTTTGAAAATAGCAAATTACTTCTTTTTTCGAAGAAAATACGAGAAACCAAAACAGCATCCCAGTGAACGTGATTACGTCAAAATGAGGTCATTATCCGGTCACTTTTGGTCGGAAACGTCATTGACTAAAAAACGACGCCTTTTTGACGCCATTTTTAAGACAACAATAAGACGTCCTTTAAAAGACGTCTTTCTAGGACAGTCACCACTGAAAAATCAACAGATGCACGTCATATCCACGTCAAACAGATGTCATATCGACTTTGTATATTTGGTCTTTTCTACGATATGCAATGACGTCATATAATGACGTCAATTGGGTGTGACATTAGACCGTCAAAATGACGTCACTTCTACGTCGATTTTGTTGCTCGGCGGACGTCAATAGTGCCCTAAAAATGCCGACATTACAACGCAATGTTCACTGAGATGGCTCTTTATGTTTCTAATGTGGGCAGTAAAACAACTTTCTCATGAAACTAAAAACCGTCTAACATTCCAACGTTTGCTATTATACATTTTTCAATGCTATCAAAACAATAATCAAAATAAAACGCATATTACTTAATCGGGTCTTTTAATCAGAGAATATTACACGGAGGTGACCGGAAATACGTAAAAAGTAGAAGTGTTTTTGAAAATGGGAATCTGATGATGAACCCCCATAAAATCGTACTATTTTGCTTTGCTAAATCCATTATTGCTACGCCTTAAGTAGGTTCACACATCTGCTTTTGAAATAAGCACACCAAATGCTGGTGATCCTCCAAAGCGCTTTTTGAAAGTTGCACTGCACCAAGATGACTATGAAAAAATAAAGAAATTTGAGGACCTTTTGAAAATTTTCGTTAACAACTTCGAAGCTTCTTCGACCTTATCCTAATAAAAACCAAGAACTGACAACCATAAAAAATCCATCCTGTAATCATACCTCCCAGGTTCTCAAACCAGTTGTTCCATCCGAAATGAGGTAACCGCTTTCTTTCAAACTGATGATTCTCCCGCTGGCGGCAACACTGTCAGCACTGTAATGCTTAAAATAGCTCTCATTCGATACTGGTAGCGCCATCACGCGGCCGTACGCCGAATATAAGTCGTCGTGAATATCGATTCCTTCACTCTCTAGTCTATTGAGTATATGTTTGAGGAAATGTTTCTGATAATTGGGATTTATCGGGTGTTTTACCACTATTTCTGAGTTTACAGTCGCATTCAGCAGCCGTAGCTGATCATCACAGTTTAAGTGATTGAAAATATCCTACGGTAGTTTAGACTTATTTGTAGAAGTAGTGTAAATTAATGTTTACTTACGTTCCAGCCAATAGAAGCCACAGGGACATTACACAGGAACTGTTTTGCGATACAGTTTATTTTATCAGTCAATAACTTTTCACTCATAATTACTGAAAGATTATTAAATGCTTATAATACTTAAGCATCATCTAACAACACGTGCATCATAAAAGAAGAGACCTGGTTATTGAAAGTTGCGATTTACGTGGATAGATGGCAGCACCTGCATGGAGGCTTCTGGTTTAGTAGTGATGGGAAAAAGTTTATTTGTTTGTATTACCCTTATCTCCACTTTTAGTTTAGGATCATGGAGGAATTTTTGCCCCCATGGGCACGCTCTTGCTGTGGGTGGATGTTTGAATGAAAATGTTTTTTTTTGAGGATTTTTGGAAATTCCTCCTACAATTGGGTACCTCTACTTAAAGTATGACTTGAAGCTTATTCAAACCTGGGCAGATAGACACACAAGGAGGGAAAATACTAAGAAAATCAAGGAGGCCATAAAGGTAGGAACGACTGACGATACGGCCCTTAGGGATAGTTTTACTAAAGAAATTACTATAGAAATAAAATAAATATTATGCATCACAAAGTTCACATCATATTAATGGTTAGTAATCATGTATCAAATTTCAATAAAACACTTCTGGGGTAGCAGCACAGACATACAGGGTGTCCCGATATTTGGACCCCCTATAGAAAAACATAATTTTTTGAAAACCTCGCCAACCTGCATCTTGAAATTTGGGCACACACGTTCATATTACCTTACTTAAATCATTTCAAAATCCTCGCAATTTTTGTGATATAAAAAAGCTCTGCCATTTAAAAATATCCGAGAGTTTCCTTGGGCTTTCTTGAGTATTATTTGAAAACGAAAAAATGTAAAGATCTACATAGTTTATACCCAGAATATGAATCTACCTTTACATGGAGCATGTCATCAAACAAATCACGTTGGAAAAAATATGTGGAGTGGTTTTTGAAGAGGAGGATGGAATTATATTTTTTACGATCAGTTGATGTGCATAGTAAACTGTTAATAGCAACTTACAATCGATGTTATTTTTCAATATGGTAAATACAAAAAAAGGTTTTATTTAATTTTTGGAGATTGCCTCGATTTCTTGTTCCCGTGCAAGGAAATTTCAATAATCTTAACATTCATCTTGTGTTTCTCGCTTTTTGTGCTCAATTGCATAATGTATCATTTCTGACTGTTTAACGGAAGTTTGCTTTTGTTGTTGTTTGTACAAATTGATTGTGTATTACAACACCCTCAAAAATATCACGTATCAAGCTAAGAACAATGCAAAGTGTCCGTTTTCCGATAGCGCTACCGGAACTCATTTTTGATCCAAATGTTATTTACCACCTTGATCCAATTAATCATCACGTGAAATCGTCGTCAGACAGTGACGTCGATTCTATCTGACACGTCGCCCATAAATTAACGGACTTTCCACGTCGAAAAGAAGCATGGAAACGACGTGTGTAGATCACGTGAAATCGTCGTCAGAAAGTAACGTCGATTCTATCTGACACGTCGCCCATAAATTAACGGACTTTCCACGTCGAAAAGAAGCATGGAAACGACGTGTGTAGATCACGTGAAATCGTCGTCAGAAAGTAATGTCGATTCTATCTGACACGTCGCCCATAAATTAACGGACTTTCCACGTCGAAAAGAAGCATGGAAATGACGTGTGTAGATGACGTGAAATCGTCGTCAGAAAGTAACATCGATTCTATCTGACACGTCGCCCATAAATTAACGGACTTTCCGCGTCGAAAAGAAGCATGGAAACGACGTGTGTAGATCACGTGAAATCGTCGTCAGAAAGTAACGTCAATTCTATCTGACACGTCGCCCATAAATTAACGGACTTTCCACGTCGAAAAGAAGCATGGAAACGACGTGTGTAGATCACGTGAAATCGTCGTCAGAAAGTAACGTCGATTCTATCTGACACGTCGCCCATAAATTAACGGACTTTCCACGTCGAAAAGAAGCATGGAAACGACGTGTATAGATCACGTGAAATCGTCGTCAGAAAGTAACATCGATTCTATCTGACACGTCGCCCATAAATTAACGGACTTTCCGCGTCGAAAAGAAGCATGGAAACGACGTGTGTAGATCACGTGAAATCGTCGTCAGAAAGTAACGTCGATTCTATCTGACACGTCGCCCATAAATTAACGGACTTTCCACGTCGAAAAGAAGCATGGAAACGACGTGTGTAGATCACGTGAAATCGTCGTCAGAAAGTAACGTCGATTCTATCTGACACGTCGCCCATAAATTAACGGACTTTCCACGTCGAAAAGAAGCATGGAAACGACGTGTGTAGATCACGTGAAATCGTCGTCAGAAAGTAATGTCGATTCTATCTGACACGTCGCCCATAAATTAACGGACTTTCCACGTCGAAAAGAAGCATGGAAATGACGTGTGTAGATGACGTGAAATCGTCGTCAGAAAGTAACATCGATTCTATCTGACACGTCGCCCATAAATTAACGGACTTTCCGCGTCGAAAAGAAGCATGGAAACGACGTGTGTAGATCACGTGAAATCGTCGTCAGAAAGTAACGTCAATTCTATCTGACACGTCGCCCATAAATTAACGGACTTTCCACGTCGAAAAGAAGCATGGAAACGACGTGTGTAGATCACGTGAAATCGTCGTCAGAAAGTAACGTCGATTCTATCTGACACGTCGCCCATAAATTAACGGACTTTCCACGTCGAAAAGAAGCATGGAAACGACGTGTATAGATCACGTGAAATCGTCGTCAGAAAGTAACGTCGATTCTATCTGACACGTCGCCCATAAATTAACGGCCTTAATGTCGAAAAGGGACGTGGAAACCACGTGTATAAATCACGTGGAATCGCTGTCAGAAAATGGCGTCGATTCTATCTGACATTTCGCCCACAAATTCAACGGACTCTCCACGTCGAATAGGGCTGTGAATACTACGTAAAGAGGTACGTTGATGTCGCGTGAAATATACGTGTCCTTGCTGGCTGGGGCGCTACTGGAATAAACACCATTAGAATGCTAAATTGGCTTACAGCACAATGCGAGAGCAGCAATATGTTGAAAACGGACGTGGGCAGAAGACAAAATTGGAAATAATACAGCATCTTTTTTGTAAATCCCTAATCCATTTATTATTGCTTCTGGTTCTGGTGTGGGTGACGACAGTGCCGTAGCGAATACGGAATTTCTGGGTTAGTCCTCGATAGTTGGATATCCTCAATAAAACGGATGTGGCATTACGTTTCAATGCTTGACCCACAAAATTGAAGGAAGTGTTTGCTTTATGGATGCCTGTATTCTGTTTCCACTGGGTGATATTTGACGTATGCCATTACCACTTGCAGTTTCTGATTTTCTAACGACGGGGTATCTTACGTTGCATCAAAGTTGGATATTTATATGGGCTACAATATACCGAGTGCTTAAAATTCTCGGAATCGGTAAGAGATACGAAGACGGTTAAGTGAGGACATTTAGGTAACTCGGAATCTTTCACAGTTCCGCGTATTTCCGAAGATAGATGAAATAAACTGAATTTTCGCATAGTCGTTCTTGCAATGGCAGTCGGTCTTTCTGGACGCTGCCCAAGCAGATTGAAGGAAACTTTTCAAAGAGTAGCAAACAACAAAAGTTGTAGCGCATCGAGGCGGCAAGATAGCGATGACCTTGACAATGACCTCAAAGTTCATTTCAAGGCCGAGCGAATATTTTTAAACAGAACCCTCCATTTTTCTCATCGAAACTAAATAAACGAACAAATTTTGCGACCAAAACTCAGCTCTGCTGCGACCTTGACTACTGCCATTTCGTGGTAAAATTAAGACACCGAAGACAAGTCCATATAGCAAAAATGTTCTACAGCGCAGTTGCGAGGTTTGTGAGGATCACCGGAATGTGTCCTTGGCTATGTCCTTAATCATGACTTTAAAGGTCAACTATAAGTTGATAAAGGAAACCTATACAAGAAATTGCAAAAGCTGTAAATTTACATCCGAATATGACCTTGACCTCGAAGTCAAAGTCTGTCAAACCTAAATGTTATTTGAGGTCAAGGTTATATTCGGACGTAAAATTTCATGTTTTCCAATTAGTTATAAAAATGAGAGGTTTTTCAAGGTTACCTTTGGGTGATCCCCACAAACATCTCAACTGTTCTATCGAACACTTACCAGAGAGAATTGTTTTCGATGCCTTGGGTTGATCTTGAAACGATCTTGGAGGAAACAGCAAGGTCCTGATCAACGTTACCTTTGGACGTAAAATTTGCTCCTCTTTTCAATTCCGATGTAAAAGAATTCGAAAGTATCCACTTGACCTTGAAAATACTATAAAGGTCGTAGTCAAGGTCATTGTAAACATCATTGCCATTTTGCCCTTTTGATACCTTACAATTTTTGGTTGAAACTTTATCTCTAGAATGCGCCTTTTTGAAAACATTTCTTTCGCAATTCCGAGTATTTCCGAAGATAGATGAAAGACACTGAATTTTCGCAAAGTCGTTCTTGCAATGGCAGTCGGTGTTTCTGGACGCTGGCCAAACAGATTGAAGGAAACTTTTCAAAGAGCAGCAAACAACGAAAGTTGTAGCGCTTCGAGGCGGCAGGACAGCGATGACCTTGACAATGACCCGGACTATGACCTCAAAGTTCATTTCAAGGCCGAGCGAATATTTCTAAACAGAACCCTCCCTTTTTCTCATCGGAACTAAATAAACGAACAAATTTTGCGACCGAAACTCAGCTTGGCTGCGACCTTGACTACTGCCATTTCGGGGTAAAATTAAGACACCAAAGACAAGTCCCTATAGCAAAAATGTTCTACAGCGCATTTGTGAGGTTTGTGAGGATCACCGGAATGCGACCTTTGCTATGACCTTGATCACGACATTCGAGGTCAACTATAAGTTGATAAAGGAACCCTATACAAGAAATTGAAAAAGCTGTAAATTTACATCCGAATGTGACCTTGACCTCGAAGTCAGAGTCTGTCAAACCTAAATGTTATTTGAGGTCAAGGTTATATTCGGACTTAAAATTTCATGTTTTCCAATTAATTATAAAAATAAGAGGTTTTTCAAGGTTACCTTTGGGTGATTCCCACAAACATCTCAACTGTATTATCGAACACTTACTAGAGTAAATTGTTTTCGATGTCTTGATTTGACATTGAAATGA